ATCTCTGTGTCCGTATAACCATCTCCACCACCTGCGCCCGCTATTAATGTATCAACCTCGCCTTTATTATAGAAATTTGTTGCTAATAATGTATTATTTTGATAATTAGTAGTTAAATTCGTGTCTATTTGTGCTTGTGTATAGTAATTAGTAAAGGTCGTGTCTATTTCTGCTTTATTGTAAAAATTCGTTGTTAGTGTAGCGTTTGTTTGGTAGTCTGTGTTTAATAAATGTGTTATTGAACTAATATTCTGGAAGTTTTGAAGTTGTTTCGTGTTTAAAACTGCTATATCTGCTGTATTTGTTGCTATATTAGAAGTATTAGCCGAGTTAGTGTTTTCTACTTCTGTTTTGGTAGCGTATTGATCGCTTATTTCAGTTGCCCCTGTTGAAAAAATTTTGTAAATTTCGTTCGCGTAAAGCGTGGTTAAGTTGTTTATAGAAGCCATTATTAAATTAAGTAGATTTTATTTAATTTAATAATGTTTTATTTCTTTTGTCAGATCTCAATTTAGTCTAAAACCGTGCTGGCACTCTCCGAGAGCTCAAAAACATGTTCTGAAACGAGCGTAACATATACCTGTTCTACGCCTAATGCGAATGTGTTGTTCGCCCCTTTCAATTTAAAAGTCAATAAGGAACCCATTTTAGTATTAGAACCGGTAAAATTCATATCAGGTTGCTTATCGAAATTTATCCCACCAATAAACTTATCGTTAGCGTATCTGTAAATGTCAATTGAAAAACCGTCATAAAACGGAGACATAACATTAACAGCACGACGTAAGAAATACATAGCTTCGGCTAAACTTTCTATTGCTTGTTCGGGGAACTTTTTATTCGCGATCTGAACATAATATGAAATTTGTTTGGTGCTGTCAATTACACCTTCCAAATTATCAATTGACGCCGACATAGGATGATAAAACCATGTCCATTTTTTCTTCGCAAAATTTGCCGCTGTGTTATTATTATCAATCTGTGAATTAGAAAGGGTAAAAAACATTTGAGATAATCGTGTTGAAGACTTAACAATATTCATATTGATTTCGGTATTTCCTGCCGCGAAAGATTGTGAAAAACTGTGATAGGCGGGATAAACCATACGAAGCCGACCCCCTTTCAATAAATGTGAAACCACGTTATTATTGACGGAATTGTCGACTGTGATTAATTCGCATCGAAGGATACAATTTTGAATTGCCCACGAAGTTGTAGTGTTTCGTGTGGTAAAATATAAACCATTAACATCGTCTTCTGCCTGTGTTCCTGCTACCGGCGTAGCCGGATTGATTACCGGTTCTTGTGCATCGGAACAAATTTCAAAAATAAATTCTAACGGACAATATCGAATAGGAGGATAATACCCTGATTGAACGAACCCGCAACATGGCTTATGCCCCATCCGAACGAATTTACCTTGCTCAATTCCTGTCGTGTTAGCTCTTGTAAGTTTTGGTAAAACAATTCCTCTATCATTTCTACCAGTAGTAGCGGTGGCATCGTGTCCTTCAATTGCAAACGCATAAAGTCTATTAATTCGGCTGTCATATCGTGTTAAACAACCTTCTTGGATGTCGTCTAAATTTCTTACTTCTTCACTTTTAAAAGATTTCATTTCTTCACATACTAAATTATAATTATCGATGTCGTTAATTTGTTGTCCTGCCGCATTGCATCTATAACGAGTAAAAAAGGCGTGGCTTTCACCTAATGGTCTTAAATATTCTCCTGCCGTGGTTGATGTATTCACAACATCAAAAAATAAGCAAATGCTGGACATATCGATGTAATTGTTGTCTTCTCCCGTGATCACAAATTTAATATATTTATTACCATTATTTGAACTAAAAATATTTCCGGATACACTAGGGAAATGAACCTGCTTACGATCGGTGATATACGCGGCACTTTCGGGAAGTCCGAACTGTAACGAGTTTATCATATTATCCTGTGTTTCAGCAATAACTAAATCCATAACTTATATATTATTTATTAGATTTTTTATTATTAATATTATTATATTTTTTATGTGAATTTAAATTGTTAATATTTTTTGAAATTGGTTTTTCTAATTGCGGTTGTGATACTGCCGTTGCATCGGCTTCAACAATTCCTCTAATAGTTTCATAAGATGAATTGTTGATGCTTTTCGTAAGCTTGTTTTTAAATTGGACGTTTTCGGGGGCTTTTCCTACCCGTGTTTGTTCCTTCGGTTTCCTGACCTTATTAAGCATTCTATTATATTATTTAGGAAAATCATTTTTCATCAGGTGGTAGTGTCTCACTAACTCCATCAAATGCGCTTATGTCATGATTTTTTAAAGGGTTTAGACTATCAGTATATACATTCATAGCACCTCCATCGAAAGCACTTACCAAATCTCCAACTTTTCTAAATCTTTTATGTTCTTCCGTGTTAGGGTTAAAACCTAAACTGAATGTAGGGCTGTTATATGTTCTCGTTCTTAAACTTCTATCTGGAAAATCTTTTGCAAGCGTTAAAACAACTGGACCTGCCTGACTATGTCCGACCAACTCCGTTATTTGCGGGTTATCCTGCAATACTCGCTTCGCTTCAATGTATCGTTCCATATCACGGACGCCACCTAATACACCAAAAGGGAGCTTTGTTAAGTTTTCTAACCAATTAACAGCGCTGGTTGTTCCTCCAACATACATTTTATTTCCTTTAACAAAAATTTTATTATCACGATCGTAAGCATATTTAATACCCTGTGAATTTGAAATTTTGCCGTTACTTTCTAGCATCGTATTTAGTTGCGATTGTATTTTTGACATTATATAAAAAAGATTATAAATTATTTATATCAATTATATTATATAACAATATTATGAGTATCAGACCATTGACGTATAAAAAAGTTTATGTAAATTCAAAATACCGCACTTCAAACAGTCGTGGAATAAGCGACTTTCAAATTGAATTAAGGGAAACCTTTGAAATACCCGATGGCACTATTATGCAAGTTCACGAGTTAGCCATTCCGAATACGTGGTATTCAATAAACACAAATAATCAAAATCTATATTTTAGACATCAGATCATCGCACCAGCTTCACCGCAAGGCATAACGTATAGGCGTATTGAAATACCAGTGGGAAATTACTCACCGCCGGAATTAGCAAATGCAATTCAGACACAACTGAATTTTTTCTTTGATAGTGGCGGTCGGTCAAGTTCCTATACCGTCACATACAACACGATATCAAATAAGATGACGGTATCCTCAAATTATACAGAGGTGCTTTTTATTCCCTTAACTGATGCCGACGTTCCATCTTTCGTAGGTTCGTTTTCCAACAGTGTAGATCTTAATAATTTAAACTCTATAAATGAAGTGTTAAGTTTTAACGTTACGGTAGGCGATAGTTTCACTTCGTCGGCTCCATGGACTACCGGTTTTATTAAGCTTCTCCATCACCAAGACCTATACATATCGTGTCCGGAACTGTCAAATAATAATTTTCATAGTCCTTCGTCTTTTTCAAACGCGATCGTAAAAAAAGTTCCTGTCAATGCTTCCTTCGCAGGTATTATAAATGATCCCTACGGCGTTACAGATTACGATTATGTTAATGTCTCGCGTCGTTCAATAAGACGACTAACTTTTAGAATAACCGATGAAACGGGCAACCTTATCGACTTCAACGGCGTCGATTTGAGTTTTAGCCTCCTCTTCCATAATAGCGATGCTACATGAAACGTAATAGAAAATATATAGAACAATATATATATGACAGATCAAAGCTCGGAAATTGTAGCAGTCAATGATGAACCTGAAAACGAAGCAACCGAAGCGCAACCTGAAACCGAAGCACCAATGCCTGAACCGGAAAAGGATGAAGCTAAACGAGTTAAAATTCGTGACGTTGTAAAAGAACCTGCTGAATGTAGGGACTGTAAAAAAACGATGACTATAAAAACGTTGAGATATACGCATCCTGAAAAATGCGAAAAGAAACCAAGTAATATTATTGATAAACCAGTAAAAAGACAAGCGCCTAGAACCAAGGCAAAAATAAACGTTGAACCTCTCGCACCGGAACATAATGAAAATAATTCAGTGGCACCGCCACAATATCAAGAGCAACAACCGCCTGTTACAAAAGCAATTCCGCCAGTGCAACCGCAACAATTTTCAAATCCTTATGCAAATTTAACGCAACAACAATTATTGCAACTACAAATGAAATCAATGAACGCCGAAATTTTGAGAAGAAGACAGGAAAAATCTGATAATATGTGCAAAGCCATGTTTCAATCAAGAAGTAAAAAATCTAAATAATAATATATACAAATGGTTCTATATAATAGGTTCAAATTTCAGAAAAACAAAAAAATGCATAAGAAAAAATCATTACATAATCCCGTCGTGAATTCACCCGAAGATCTGGTTTATCGGCAACAAAATATTGATTATCTACTGAATTTGAAAAAGCAACTGGAAGCGAGAGAGGCAAAAGAAAAAAACATAGCGCTTAAGCGTAGATTGTTAGAGGGTCAGATGAAAGCAAATTATGAAAGTGAGATGTCAAGATTGAAAGGGGAAATGCATAATCCAAGAATACCCGAGACTTCTCTGGAACATCTCAGAAAAAGATATGACACATTAAGCGAGTTAAGCGAGACTATTTTCTAAAACAATATATAAAAAAGAATGGTAGTTAAAAACGCTGGTATACAATTTCACAGAAGATCTAGATATGAAGATATTTTGGAGCTGGTTAATGACGACGAAGAAGCATTAAAACCCTTTCCTAATAGAGATGCTGTATTCTATAAACAAAGCAACAAAGGAACTCGTTTTGATGGAAAAGATCATTTGGACAAATTAAAAGTTCAAGAAAAACAAATTGCCGAAAGAATTGTTAGGGATCATATGCTACGCGAATACGCTAGCGATAACAATTTTACACATAGAGCATTATTTACAGAGCACGACCGCCCAGAACCAGAACAACCCAGATCGCCAGAAATGTTTCGTATTGCAACGGACACCGACAATATGTCTTTTATTGAAGAATACGGCACACCCCCCGAGCAACAATTGTTTCAAATCGATGAAACATTAGGAAACGTAGCAACCGCGCATCAAGGCAACCAACAAGCAATCAATCAAGCGCACCAACAACAGTTAGAAAGAGAGGAAGAAGGCGGTTCGGGCATTCTTCGGAGTTTAGGAAGCGGGGCATTAAGTTTAGGAAGCGGGGCATTACGAGTAGGGGGCAATGTTGCGGGTAATATGATTTCCGGTATGGATTTTACTTCTGCCGCGTTCGCTGGACTTACACAGGAAGCCGCGCAAGCCTTAGGCGAGACATTAATGAGGAGAATAAACCCGCCCCCCAGACAGCTATTAGACTTTTCAGGAGATCCTCGCGCGGGTCAGTTTACAACTTATGACCCAATGCCAATTCCAAACATGGAATATTTACAACCTTCAATAGTTTTACAACCACATCAACCTAACGTCGGTGCTACACAACAACCTTTACCGATTGCATCATCAAGCCAACCTACGCTAGCAGAATTACCACCAATACCACGTCCAATACCACAGCGACCAACAGAGCCGAGAACAAAAGCAAGACCCAGACCATCACCGAAAACACCGCCACCACCACAGCCAAATTTTCAAGAAGGCGGTTCGTCAAGTTCAAGCGGAAACGCGCCACCACCACAAAATGAACGCCCACGAACCCGTTTAACCAGAAAAACAAATTTGAAGGAAGGAACAACAGAAGAGCAGGATATGGCATCACCTACATTAATCATTCCAAGCAAAATAGGTATTCAAAAATTGAGAGAAGTATTCGAAGAAGCTAACAACAGAAATACTATAAATACTAAAACTTACAGAAGCTATAAAAGTATATATAACAATTGGATCAGGTCAGCGGGAGATAAAGAAATGAAAAAACAATATCTGAAAGAACTCAAAGATTTGTATAGACAACATATATTCAGAAAATAATATAAGCTTCAAAATATTTCAGTAAATTATTATTCTTTATTGAAATATTTATTTTTTCAAAAGTTTTAAAAGTTTTAAAAACTAAAATATATAGTATTATATATATATATATAGATGAAAAAATCGGTTCAAGATGAATTGTTTGAAATTCTTTACAAACAAGCAAAGCACGAATTAGAAAAGCTAGAAATCATCAAAGAAAGTAGGATAAGCAAAATTGAGGAAATTAAACAAAAATGCGTTGTAGAAAAGGAAGAACAGGAACATTTAGATAAGGAAATGAAATATTTAGAAAAACAAATTGAGCTTCAAAAAGAATTAATAGAATTATATGAAATAATAATTAAAAGTTTTAAAAGTTTTAAAAAGAAAAATATATAGTATTATATATATATATATATGACGGATAAAGACAATTATAAAGAGGTATTTGAAAAAGAACTAGATAACTTATATGATGAATATGCAATGAAAAAATATTTAATATTAAAAAGACAAGAAGATATACTGATAACAATGAAAAAGAATTCTAACACAACATTCATAGATGATGAATATATTAAAAATATACGAAGAGAACTGAATGATTTACAGGGTTATTTAAAAACAAAACACGCGCTATAATCTAAACATCATTATGGTATATGGTAAACGCTTAAAGAGATAATGCCATATAACAGTATATACTATATAATGTCGGCAAAGTTTTGCAACAGTTGCAATAGAACAAGACAACTATATGATTTTACAGATGAATATAAAATGTGTAATTATTGTAGAAACCGTCAAATAAGATACAACAATGAAAACCGAGAAAAAGTGAAAAAACAGAGTGAAGCAATACAGTGAAAATCATAAGGAGCAAATAGCAGAACGTAAAAAACAATACAATCAGGATAATAAGGAAAAGATAGAAGCACATAGAAAAGAATATATGAAAATAATATATCATTGTCCATTTTGTAATTATGATGTAAAACATTACAAAAAATCACAACATGAAAAATCAAAAATGCATCAAAACAATGTAATCTTAAAAGAGCTTGAAGATCTGGAAATATAAATATTAGTTCATGATTTTTACAAGGATTTTTACAACAATTTTTGATAAAATCTTTACAATAAATTTTGATAAAAATTTATGCTGAAATTTGTGAAACAAATTTTACAAAGTTTTTTTACAAAGATAATTTATAAAAATACAATTTTTCAACAAATATTTTTTGGAAGATTTTTATGACGAAAATTTTGAAAAATATTTTTATGAAATTTTGGAAATATTATTTTTATGAAATTTTGGAAAATTTATTTTTTGAAAAAATTGAAATATTATTTTTATGAAAATTTTGGAAAATATTTTTTATGAAAATTTTGATAAATTTTATGATGAAATTTTTTTATATTTTTTATCATAAAATTATTAATTTTTTATTGAAATTTTTGTTAGGAATGGTTGAGGGTCGGATGTCAAAAATGAGGAAAAAATTGTTGGAAATTGGAAAACGTAGGGTAGACCCTAGCAAAAAAACGTGTGAGGCGTTCGGCGGGTGAAAAAAATGTGAGGCCAGCCCAACCCTAACTGTTTCCTGGCAGATTTGTTTCAGGCTTTTAATTGAGGAGGTTTCATAGAGTCCCCACGAGCCACACACTCGCAATTATATAAATCCCAAGGGATTATACTTAATATTGATGCTCTTGTAAAGGTCTGGTTTTGATTTCATGTTATGGAAAAACCCAAGGGGTTATACTCACTATTGATGCTGTTATAGAGGTGAAAGAGGGGAAATAACTTGCAAACTCCAAGGGAATATTGAAACTTACATGTTTGTGTCAAGGTTCTAAGGGGGAGTTTCGACTCCCAGGGAACTGACGTGCACCGTGCAGGCCAAACAGTTGACATCACTCGCTCCGACGTGCCGGGCGGCTGGGGCCAGCGCCTGTCCCTGGTGTGCGTCACGGCCTTGGGATCATTCTTTGGGATGTTCCCCCCAGGAACTAGTTCAAAAGGGTTTAGGGTTTAGGGTTTAGGGTTTAGGTTTAACTAGGGATGGGGTTTTCTCTCTTTGTCAAGTTTCGGGAGTTTAGGTTCCACAGGGTTGCATTTAGGGTAGGTTTTGGGTTTTGTATGGTTTAGGCTGGGATGTCCCCCAAACTCACGGTCCCTAACAGGGATTATAGTAGGGGGCACTCGAATGTTAGTAGAAGGGGAACATCCCAACCCTAAACCCCAAACCCTAAACCCTATAAACCCTGAACTTAAACCCGAATTAACCATCCCAAGGTTTGGGGTTTCGGGTAGGGCTTGGTTTGTTTCAGGCGTCCTTCCAGGACGCTGGAGGTGTCTTGTCCAATGCCCCTTAATTAAGGAATATACCTTAAATCAGATTAAGTATCCCTATATAAAATATAACCCATATTCGCTAATTAAGTGATATTGGGCTCTTTGGGGGAAGCAGCGGCAGTTATTCACCCTAAACCCCAAACCCGGAAACCCCAAGCCCCAAACCCTCCCCCAAACCAAGCCCTAAACCCTAAACCCTAAACCCTAAACCCTAAACCCTAAACCCTAAGCCCTAAGCCCCAAGCCTCCCCCAACAGTGGGCTGGATCGAGGTGACGCCGGCCTTGGCTGGGCTGTCGGATCGGCCACAAGTTCAGGCCAAGGGTTAAGTGCTTGGGGTCTTCGGGTGTTGGGCTTCGGTCTTAAGGTGTTTGGGGTTAGGGGTTTTGGGGTTTAGTTGGGTTTAGGGTTTAGGGTTTAGGGTTTAGGGTTTAGGGTTTAGGGTTTAGGGTTTAGGGTTTAGGGTTTAGGGTTTAGGGTTTAGGGTTTAGGGGTTTAGGGGTTTAGGGGTTTAGTTGGGTTTCTGGGTGCTTTTTGGTTTAGGTTTTAGGAGTGTAGGCTTTGGGCTTTAGTGGGCGTTGGGTGCTTTGTGTTTTGGGCGTTTGGGTTGGGACTCATCAGGGCTTGGGGGCTCAGGGTTTAAGGCTTAGGGTTTAGGGTGCCGTCCTCTGCGGATCTTGAAGATTAGGGTTTAATTTGGAGGTTTAGGGGTGTAGGGTTCAGGGGTCAGGGTTCAGGGTTTGGTTGCTTTAGGGTCTAGGGTTTAGGGTTTAGAGTTCAGGGTTCAGGGTTCAGGGTTCAGGGTTCAGGGTTTAGGGAAATGGTTCATGGTCTAGGGTTTAGGGTAAGACGGCCGGGGAGGCACGCCGCTCGCGGTGGACCTCAACTACCTCGATTGCTACAACCCACAAGTAGTACCCTAGACTACTATTGGGTCAAAGAGGTGGAAGAGCTCCTCCAAAACAGAGGACACTCTTGTAGGGTGGGGGTCGGTCTATGCGAGGGGGATTAGGGTTTAGGGTTTAGGATTTGGGGTTTAGGGGTTTAGGGTTTAGGAGTTTATTGCAAGCAGTCGCTGAGGACGGTCCAAGCGGCATTTAGGAGCTAGGCTTTTGTCTAGGGGTTCAGGGTTCAAGACCCTAAGGGTCCATGTACCATATTGTTATATACTTTGGCCCAAACGTTCATAAGTAGGAGGCCCATTTTTTCCTCATGTAGGTACGTGGAGAACTACTTTTTGGGCTGGGGTGCTAATGTTTTCAATCCTAAGTCCTATCCCCCAAGCCCTATAGACCCTAAACTTTAAACCCTAAACTCTAAATCCTAAGCCCAAAACCCTACACTCACTTACTTAGCCAAGAGCGCATTCTACACTATTCGAGTTTTCTTACCTAGTAGGAATCATAAAGTTTAGCCTTTTCTTTCCCTTGGGTGTTCGAGAAGCAACTACTCTGAACCCTAAACTCTAAATCCTTAGCCCTAAACCCTACGTCCCTACTACCTACTTCAAAGCAGAGTCTAGGTTAGGGTTTAGGGTTTAGGGTTTAGGGTTTAGGGTTTAGGGTTTAGGGTTTAGGGTTTAGGGTTTAGGGTTTAGGGTTTAGGGTTTAGGGTTTAGGGTTTAGGGTTTAGGGTTAGGAATCATATCGTTTAACCTTCTCTTCTCCTTGGTTCTTGGAGAAGTAAGGAGACTCTAAACCCTAACCCAGACCCCTTGGAGGATCCAAAAAAATGGATCCCCTTAAAAGTTCCTCAAAATGACCCAGTAGTGATCTAGGGCTCTATTTGTTCTATTTTTTGGATCCTCCCAGAGGTCTGGGAAACCCTCCATGCAACCTTTTTCAAGCAGCATCAGGCGACCGGGCCAGAATCGCTCCTGCTCTCTCCCAGGGACAACCAGTCGGCTCGGGCCCCCAGCCAAGCCACGCAGTGCCCGCAGCCTGGGGGGTAGGATTTAAAAGTGAGCCGAAAAGCTCCATGAACCCGATACACGCAACAGTGAACCCGACACCCGAAACCCCAAATTCTTGTACTGTATGCCTGTACCCTTCCAGACCCCTAGACCTTTGCAAATGGGAGGGGGTTCTCTTAACTGCGGGGGCCCTTTTTGGGTCCCCTGTCTCCGAAACCATAGTGGAATCCCCAAAAGGCACCAGATTTCCGAGAAGCTCCCACATCCTCATAGTTGTTCATTGACCTGTTTTGTTGGTTCGTGGGTTCATGGTTTGTGGGTTTAGGGTTTCGGGTTAAGGGTTTAGGGTGAGAGTTTATGTGCAGGCTGGTGGGGTTTTGGGTTCTGTGCGGATGTCTGATCTGTTGGGCCATCAACTTGGACCATGGGCGTATATCGTTTCTGCACGAAGGCTTCTGCACGCAGAATGTGCTGTCTTGACCATCGGGCCCCTATGTGGTTAGTTTAGGGTTTAGGGTTTAGGGTTTAGGGTTTAGGGTTTAGGGTTTAGGGTTTAGGGTTTAGGGTTTAGGGTTTAGGGTTTAGGGTTTAGGGTTTAGGATAGGGTTTGGCCGTCGAGGGCTCCACATTTCAACCAACCCAGGAGACCTTTGTCCCTAGGTCGCGCTGGGGACTCGACAGTTGAGTGCCTACCATTCAATGAGTCGCAGCTAAATGGGTGGCTGTCAAAATTATGATCCCTTTTGGGGTACCCTAAAGATTAGGTGCCGTATTACAATTGGGATCCAAAAAGGGACCCTAATTTTGACAACCACCCAAATGGCTTTGTGGTACTTTACCGTAACTTTAGATCCTTGCCCTTTTTTTGGTTCCTTGGCTCTTGAGTGCAGCCAAGAAAGGCTTTTGGTTAGATTCTGCATGAAGCTTCCCACCCCCCATCATATGGTGAGTCCTCCATATGGGTGGCTGTCAAAATTATGGTCCCTTTTTGGGTCCCTATTATAATACGGCACCTAATATTTAGGGTACCCCAAAAGGGATCATAATTTTGACAGCCACCCATATGATGGTCCCTGTTTGGGTACCCTGAAATATTCGGAGCCGCCGTATCCCAGCAACGCCAAAAGGGACCAAATGTTAGAGATCTGACCATACAAGAAGAAGCTAAAGTGACCAGGTCACGGTGACCTACCCGGAGAAGCTCGCCACTACCATGCAAGGCAAATTGAGATTTTTTAGGGTTTAGGGTTGAGGGCTTAGGGGGCCCTAAACCCTAAACCGGTGCGACGATAACTTTTCCAGAAATTACTTTGAAGGTTTATGAGCTGTGCTTTTTCTTGTCCGAAGTTCTCGTTTCATTGTTTTTTTCAGGTTCTTCTTTACCTGCTCTGGCCGGAGTTATCAGTACGAATGAGTACTGCATATTGCCATATTACATATGCGTTTCCCCCAAACCATAACCCTAAACCCTACACCCTTCGCCACCCTATAGTTGAATGCGACACGCAAGAAGGCCTTCTCGGGGCTTCAGAGTTTTGCGTTTGGTGTTTTTTGCGTTTGGGTTTAGTGGGCTTTGCACCCTAATCTTGCTGCAGATTGCCACATCTATCTGTAGTACATATTTGGGGTTTCCGAAAATAAGGGACCCCGAAAATGGACCCCCAACTAGTAGGATTCCCTGTTCATTAGGACCCAAAAAAGTACCCTTAAACCCTAAGCCCCAAACCGCACTCCCTAAACCCTAAACCCCCTTCTTCCAGGGAGGCCTTAATTTCTGAAACCCACATGTTTGCCCTGGACGCCAAAAAGCCTTGCAAAGTATGGTCGGAAGGCTCCTTGGAGCCTGAGGGTTAGGTAACCATCTCGCCGGACTTCCTGAACCCTAAACCCTAAGCCCTAAACCCCTAAGCCCTAAACCCCTAAACCCTAAACCCTAAACCCTAAACCCTAAACCCTAAACCCTAAACCCTAAACCCTAAACCCTAAACCCTAAACCCTAAACCCTAAACCCTAAACCCTAGACCCTAAACCCTAAAACCTAAAACCTAAACCTCAAGCGCCTCGGACGATTCAGGCTGCGAGTGTGCCACCATCTACCTGGAGATGGCCGTGGAGGTCCGGCTGTTACTTCAAGTCTTCAGGGTGTGCGTAGCCCCTAAACCCAAAATTAGGGTTTAGGGTTTAGGGTTTAGGGTTTGGGGTGTAGCCCTAAACCCTAAACCCAAATTAGGCCCAGCTGGGCTTAAGAACCGAGGGTGGTGGTACCACACGTACACGAAGCTACTTTAAGGGTTCCCATTTACAGGCTTTTTCGACCCCCCATAACAATACCACCCCCAGGTTCGGTGGCCAGACGCAGAATACCCTAAACCGTAAAACCCTAAGCCCCGGACCCTAAACCCTGAACCCTAAACCCTAAACCCTAAACCCTAAACCCTGTAGAGAGTCTGATGAAAGCTTCTGTCGGATGTGGGTCGTAAGCTCAAATCCCGTCACCTAGAGTTGCTCACCCCGCGACTTGCTCAGAGTGTGGGGTTGAGGCCCGAAACCCTAAACCCTAAACCCTAAACCCTAAACCCTAAACCCTAAACCCTAAACCCTAAACGCTGCGAAGCAAGCATTTGGAAGAACACCCGCTGACGCTGCGCTGGTGCCTCCGCTTCGTGTTGCTGCCGCTCTCACGCCGAAAAAGGGGCGGCCACCCAGAGACTCCAATATCCCTTTTATTAAGGTTTGAGGGTTTAGGGTTTAGGGTTTAGGGTTTAGGGTTTAGGGTTTAGGGTTTAGGGTTTAGGGTTTAGGGTTTAGGGTTTAGAATAAACGGTAGTAGGATCCCGAATATGATTTTCGGTATATTCCCTAATTAAGGATTTAGGGTTTAGGGTTTTAGGGTTTTAGGGTTTAGGGTGTCGGGTTTGAGGCTTGTCTGAGCGTTCTTCCGGCAGGCACAAGGGGCCCAGCTGTCGGCCGTGAACGCGTTGCAGGAGCAGCTCAGGGAAGACGTGCACGCGTGGACCGCGTGGAGTCTTTGGGTACAATACCTCCGTGTGGAACGCGCTGTGCTGCCCAAATCCGGCTTCCAGGAGATCATGGGCCTGGGGTGGCTGTCCGATGAGCGGCAGCTGGAGCGGGTTTTAGGGTTTAGGGTTTAGGGTTTGGGGTGAGCGTATTTCCTCATGCTAAATGCCCTCTTTGCACATGGGGCCCGAGTTTAGGGTTTAGGGTCCAGGGTTTAGGGTTTAGGGTTTAGGATATATGACGCAACCCTAAACCTACAAGGACTCATGGGGCTTCAGGGCGACGCTCTGAATTTGAATCCTTGTTATGGTTTCATCTTAAGGCTCCTATAAACCCTGAAGCGATCAAGCCCCAAACCCCAGCAAGGCCAAGAACACTTAACCAGCAAAACCCCTATAAAACCCTAACTACCTTAAGAACCCTGACAGGAGACTCGGGTGTAGTTGAGGGGGTGGTGCCAGGGCGGTTGGGGGGGAGGGGGGGGGAGGGAAACTGAACTTGCTGCGTGCAGGGTCAATGCAGATATCCAGCTTCAGTATACCCTCTACCCTCGACCCTTTTCACCCAAAACTCAAGTGAGAGTGATGTCCAGGCTTGTATTTGCTGAAGCACAGCACGGCTGTTTAGGGTTTACGGTTTTGGTTTTTGAAACGTCTAGCTTGGCAAGCTCCCCAAACCCTCAGCCCAACACCCAAAACCCCAAACCTCATACACCCTAAACCCCTCGCAAGCTACACGCCCGAACCATATACCCCAAAACCGTACACCCCACAAACCCTATACACCCCAGCCCACCCTAAACCCTCCCCAAACCCCAAACCCTAAATGCAAAACTCTATAAACGCCAAACCCTAAACCCTAAACCCTAAACCCTATAAAACCCTAAACCCTAGACCCTACAAACCCTCCTTCTTCTTCCGAGGGCTCTAAAAACCCTATAAACCCTCTAAACCCCATAAACCCTATAAACCCTATACACCCTATAAACCCTATACACCCTATAAACCCTATACACCCTGTAAACCCTATAAACCCTATAAACCCAATTAACCCCAACAAATCCTATAAACCCTATAAACCCTCTAAACCCTATAAACCCCGTAAACCCTACAAACCCTAAACCCAAAAGAGCCCTCCCTCATGTTCCCAGGGCTCAAAAAACCCCTTTAAACCCTAAACCCTAAAACCCTAAAACCCTAAACCCTAAACCCTAAACCCTAAACCCTAAACCCTAAACCCTAAACCCTAAACCCTACAAACCCTCCCTCATGTTCCCAGGGCTCGGGAGACTGGCTGCGCCGCGAGGGCGTGGATGGGCTTTGCAGCGACTGGGGCAGCCGAAGGCGCCAGGTTTGGGGTTTAGGGTTTAGGGTTTAGGGTTTGGGGTTTAGGGTTTGGGGTTTAGGGTTGGGGTTTAGGGTTTCGGGTTTGGGGTTTAGGGTTTGGGGTTTAGGGTTTAGGGTTTGGGGTTAGGGTTTAGGGTATGGGGTTTAGGGTTTGGGGTTTGGGGTTTAGGGTTTAGGGTTTGGGGTTTAGGGTTTGGGGTTTAGGGTTTAGGGTTTAGGGTTTAGGGTTTAGGGTTTGGGGTTTGGGGTTTAGGGTTTAGGGTTTAGGGGTTTAGGGTTTAGGGTTTAGGGTTTAGGGTTTGGGGTTTAGGGTTTGGGGTTTAGGGTTTAGGGTTTAGGGTTTAGGGTTTGGGGTTTGGGGTTTAGGGTTTAGGGTTTGGGGTTTAGGGTTTAGGGTTTGGGGTTTGGGGTTTAGGGTTTGGGGTTTAGGGTTTAGGGTTCGGGGTTTGGGGTTTAGGGTTTGGGGTTTAGGGTTTAGGGTTCGGGGCTAGTGGTGTCCCTGCACCCCACACCGTAAGGCCTAAGTAACTCAAAACCCCAAAGCCCTATAACCCTAAGCCCCAAGTCCTGAACCTGAAACTCAAAGAAGCCCTGAACCCCAAAGCCCTAAACCCTATACCCAAAATGGCGGTTTTTGGGTGCCAGGTGCGTCGTGGATCGATTGGCGGCAGGTCAAATCTACGAGGCACCTGGGTTCTGTTAGGGGTTCGGGGGTTTGGGGAGGTTTTAGGGGTTTAGGGGTTTTAGGGTTTTAGGATTTTGGGGCATGGGGTTTAGGGGTTTAGGGGTTAGGGTTTAGGGGTCTAGGGGTTTTAGGGTTTAGGGGTTTAGGGATTTTGGGTTATTTAGGGTTTGGGGCTTCAGGGTTTAGGGTTCAGGGATTTTGGGTTTAGGATTTGGGGGTTTTAGGGTTTGAGGGTTTATAAAGGGTCAGGAGTTGAGGGGTTTACGGTTTGGGGTTTAGTGTGGTGCGATCTACTGGCGTGTAGTTGTTCCTGCTATTTATGGTCGTGGGTGGAGATGTTGAAGAAAGCGGCTCTCAGCCGCATCACATGGTAGCCCAGTGGTACCCTTTACCCTTGTTTTTTTGGGTTCTGGGTTCCCTTACGAAGTAACCAACCGAAAACAGGGTACGCTTACTACAATAATATGGGGGGTTTCCGAAAGTGGGGAAGGGGGGGGGGGGAGGTGCCCTTTTGCTATTTTGGGGTATATTAAGGGGTACCCCCCCCCTCCTTCTTTTGGAAATACCCATGTGGCATATGGTTGCTGGGATGCCCAAGGTCATACATTGTATTATAGGGTTCTTAAGGGGGGGGGGGGGGGTTCATGGATTGTAGGTAGCTAGGGAGCCTTGGGGAAGCTAAGGGAGCCTTAGGGAGTAGTAGGGAACCTTGGGATACCCTAAACCCTAAACCCTAAACCCTAAACCCTAAACCCTAAACCCTAAACCCTAAACCCTAAACCCTAAACCCCTTGAACCCCCCTCCCTTAAGAACCCTATAAGTCTAGAACAGCTCATGAGGTGCTCAAGGACTTCCTTATCAGGGACTCAGCGAGATCGAAGCAAGCCAGAAAGCCGCCTAACCAGGCGGAAGCCTAAACCCTAAGCCCTAAAACCCTAAACCCTAAACCCCAAACCCTGAACCCTAAACCCCAAACCCCAAACCCTAAGCCCCAAACCTATAAACCCTAACCCTAAACCCTCAACGCCTCGACAGGGCCGCGTCCGCATCCAGTGCAGCGACACCGGGCTGAGCAGCAGCTGGACCCTCGCAGGTGCAGCGCACTTGGGGCCCGAAGCCCTCTAAGCCCTACATCCCAGGCCCAAACCCCTATAGACCCCAGATCCCAAACCCCAAAGCCCAAGCTCTAAACCCTAGCCCTAAACCCTAAACCCCTAAACCCTAAACCCCTATCGATGCCCTAAGCCGCATGTCGGCTGGGGCGAATTTTCATGGCCGGGCCGTAGAACTCAAGCTCCTTAAGGCCTGAACTCCTTACGCTTCATGAAGTTCTACCAGGGTTTAGGCTTTGGGGTTTAGGGTTGTGTGCACGACTTGTCTGCCATTTAGGTACATCGATCCTGAACCCTAAACCCTAAACCCTAAACCCTAGGGGATAGGGTTTGACTAGGACTCTGTCATTAGAGTCGAGGTTTCGGGTTCGGAGTTCGGCGTATATAGGCTCTCCCTCAACCCTAACTTGAGAACATCCTCAGATCAACTCTTGCAGTAAGTCCATTCTCCTCATCTAAGTTCAAGCATAGTTAATTTGGCATGCTTTTGCTTGGCATAGTGCGGGCTCGGACGCTTCTCTCAGTTGCCCAGACAAGACCCAACATCCCTAAACCGTAAACCCTAAACCCCAACCCTAACCCCTAAGCTCTAAACCCCAAACCCCAAACCCCAAACCCCAAACCCCAAACCCCAAACCCCAAACCCCAAACCCCAAACCCTAAACCCTAAACCCTAAACCCTAAACCCTAAACCCTAAACCCTAAACCCTAAACCCTAAACCCTAAACCTGAGCCCTCGAGGTGCCACCGTGAGCACGCCGGGCACCCAGTGCAACATCGTAAGTGCGCTACTTGAAGGTTCATGGTACTTAGTAACCAAATTATAACTGTACTTATAACTGTACTTATAACTGTACTTATAACTGTACTTATAACTGTACTTATAACTGTACTTATAGCCATATTAGGGCACTTAAGGGGCTTATAAGTACAGTTATAAGTACAGATATGATTGGTTAATAAGTACCATGAACCTTCAAGTAGAAGGGCGGCCACAGACTTTTGCTGCCCCCTTGTGCGGCTTAGGGTTTAGGGGTTTAGGGGTTTAGGGGTTTAGGGGTTTAGGGGTTTAGGGGTTTAGGGGCTTAGGGGTTTAGGGGTTTAGGGGCTTAGGGGCTTAGGGGTTTAGGGGTTTAGGGGTTTAGGGGCTTAGGGGCTTAGGGGTTTAGGGGCTTAGGGGCTTAGGGGCTTAGGGGTTTAGGGATCTAGGGCACTCCCGCCAAAAAAGAGGCTGAGGGATGCGGGGTGTGGTTCTTTAGCAGTATGGTCCCTCCTGGGATCTTCATCGTATATGGAGCCCGCGATGTAAGGCACCCAAAACGGGCCCCCCCAATCAGAGACTCACTCCCCTGCATACAACCATGCCCTACCTCAAGAGCCACGAACTGCTGTGCCTGCTGCGGTCAGGTTTAGGGTTTAGGGTTTCGGGTTTAGGGTGTAGGGTTTAGGGTTTAGGCTTAGGGTTTGGGGTTTAGGGTTTAGGGTCTAGGGTTAGGGTTTGTAGGTCTGCAGGGTCCTTGTCAGACTCTTGGCGCAGCGGGTTTAGGAGAGCCCCTTAAGCTCTAGATCCTTAATTAGACCCTAAACCCTAAGCCCTACCCCCCCCCCCCCCCACCATGTTCCTAAATAGTGGCATGACATGTTTTTTTTTATGTATATACTTGGGCCGTAAAGTTACAGTTCAAAGCCCAAGTGTACCCTGTCCTGCTTCCTAAACCCCAAGCCCTCGACCCGAAACCCTAAACCCTCAACCCCAACCCTAAACCCTAAACCCTAAACCCTGAACCTCACCCTAAACCCTAAACCCTAAACCCTAAACCCTAAACCCTAAACCCCCCTGCAAGGAACCTCGAGGCCTTCACGGTGACCGGCTCCATCTCAGTGCAGGCCGTGGGATGCTCAGGCAGTACCGACCTATGGGGGCGCTTCTGGGCTTCTCTGGGTGGGTAATATACAATTAAAATACATGTCGATATACATATTTATGTATACATATATATATATATACACATGCATGTGTATGTATATAGATATAGATATATATATATATATTTATATTTATATCGGAGTTCATGGTTTTGGTTTTTGAGTTTCTGGGCACTGCACTAAACCACCCCAACGCCGATAAGTGCTACGTGCTACGCCAGACAAATACAAGCCCTTCTCATGGGGGGGGGGGGGGGGGGGGGGGGGGGCTAAACTCTACGTAACTAATCATGGAGGGCCTACGGAAGAACAGCAAGTTGGCCCAACACGCTTCTAGCTTTTTGGCAACCCCTCTAAAGACCATGGCAGCCCTAAACATCTTCTGAGTTTTTTAACCCTAGAAGCTGTTCAATAGGGTTTAGGGTTACAAGAAACGCACTCCAGAAATCTACATGACTGAGAAAAGAAAGCTTATATGCCTTACAAACCTTATAAGCTCGCCCCAGAAGCCTTGGCAAACAAATTCGCCCCACACCCTAAACCCTACACCCTAAACCCTAAGCCCTAAACCTTAAACCCCGAACCCAACGCCCTAAGCCCTAAGCCCGAGTCTGGGCGGCGCCTGGCATCGAGCGGAGCCTTCCGCGCGCGGCTGCGCGCCACGCTGAGCGAGGCGCGAACGGGGCAGAGGCCCTTTGAGCCTCGGGCTTGCATGCGCTTACCCTAAACCCTAAAACCCTAAACCCTAAAGCCTAAAGCCCTAAACCCTAAACCCTAGAAACCCTGTAAACCCTTTCTCCCCTATAAACCCTTTTGTATTACCATTATGGCCTTAGGCACCTCAACACCCTACAAAGTGTGGTTTTTTGGTACCTAAATTCCATAATTGTAATGCAAATGGACCCTCTGGGTTCTGTACTAATTGCTCAAGAACCTAGTAGTAGAGTAGGAAACCTTTGTGGGGCAATATAAACCCCTTCTAATCCCAAAGGTTAGCCTTTAATTCCCCCAGGTTACTGGACAACTGAGAGAACCCCCCCCCCAACACATATTCTTCCTTGTAAGGGTAATATCTACTAATTGCTTAAGCCCCCTCAAAAAATGAGCGTATTCCTCCTTTTCAGGGTAATATAGATATTCCTTACGTTGTGTTTTTTTTTGGGGGGGTGGGGGTCTTAAGCACATAGTAGTTATGGGGTGCAGAATTCTGCAGCACACTTTGCAAGCAGCCTAGTCTAGGTAGGCCCTGGGAACATTTGCTACCTTCCTCTATTCGGTTCAGGAGGATCATATTCAGGAGTACTTTTTAGAGGGTTCAGGGTTTAGGGTTTAGGGTTTAGGGCCATCCCAGTAGTTTTATTACTTCAGGTTGAAAAAACCTACCAGGTCGCGGAGGTGGAGGAAACCGCGGTGCTTGTCGAAGACGGCGTCGTGGGCGGTTGCGCCCTCAAAGAAGAGCTTAGGGTTGAGGGCCTTGGCGATTAGGGACAGGGTTTGGGGTTTAGGATTTTGGGCTTAATTAGGGTTCAGGGTGTAGGGTGTAGGGTCTAGGGTTTAGGGGTCAAGGTTTAGGGTTTGCTTAGGGTAGCAATTAGGGTAGCGATTTGGGATACGGCATCGGGTTGAGGGCCTCGCGTTGTTAGGGGTTGCAGCTTTGAGGGTGCAGGGGGCGGGGGGGGTTGGCACTGCCCTTGCGAGGCTGATCGTCGCCCCAGTTTGGCTGTATACGCATCTGCTGTTGAAGCAAATTTTAGGGAAAAGGGTTTAGGGTTCAGGGTTAGGGTTTAGGGTTTAGGGTTGAGGGTTTAGGGTTCAGGGCCCTAAAAGATGTAAGGGTTCAGGGATGGGTTCAGGGAGGCTCATGGTACAAGTCGTCGGGTAATGGCGCTCATTTTTGTGGTCCGACTGCTAGAGTGCTACGGTGCAGCTCCAATCCGTGTCACAACCAGCTATTGAGTCTATAATGCCTTATGTTTGGTTTCTTAGACAAGAGACTACAGGAACATGAACACGTTGTGCCCGAATGCTTGTTGTGTTTCATGCGCCATCGTGGAAAGCCCTGCCTGTGAAACCAATTACCCACTAAACGAGAGGTAAGTTGATATACCGTGAAACCTGAACCCTAAACCCAAAACCCCTGCAGAGGCCACGAAACCCACCTCCCCAAACGCTTAAAACCATTTAATGCCCTCTGCCCCAAAAGCCCTCAAACCTGAACCCCACCCTGAAACACCACAAGCCACAAGCCCCAAAACGCAGAGCCCCCGAAGCAAAACATCCTGTAGCCCCAAACTCAATCAACCCCTAAGCCCTACAGCCCTAAACCCTGAACCCTAAACCCTAAACCCTAAACCCTACTGCCCTTAAAGCCTCCATCAGCCCGAAGCTTGACGAACCCAACTCCCAGGCACGGCGTCGCTCGATTTCGTCTTGGCCGCTTCGACGATCGGGTCCGCCATGGGACTGGGAGGGAAGCGGCTCCAGGGCATTTAGGGGCTTAGGGGGGTCGGGGTTTTTATCTTTTATTCATTATATATATATATATGTTTATATTTATATTTATTCTTATTATTTTTATTTATTTTTATTTATTATATATTTTTATCCATTTTTTTTTTTTTTTTTTTTTGGGGGGGGGGGGTGGTGGTTAGGGTTCTCAAGGTCATTTAGCGTTTAGGGTTTATAGGGGTTTTAGTGTTTTAGGGTTGCAGGGTTTTAACAGGGTTGCAGGCTTTGAGGGTTTTAGGGTTTGAGGGTTTTAGAGTTTTAGGTTTTAGGGTTTGAGTGGGGCTTAGGGCTTAGCGTTTGGCGTCCGGGGGTCCAGGTTTAGGTCTGTGTTTTTTGAGGTTTCGGGGGTGTCAGGTTCAGGCTGTGGGTGGATGTCTTTGTAGTGCCTTACTCTAGGACCGGGAGTAGGCCCTTTTTTCCTTTTTCTAGGGTTGGGGTTCCCTTGTAATCCTCTTAAAACCAAAAAGGGTACACTTTTTATTCCTAGCTTACTCCCGGGTCTGGTACTTGTTATGACCGTTACACAGCTTCAATTTGGGGCTTCGGATTCGGCATGCGGGCTTCGGTAGTATGGAACGCACTCATGGCCTGAAGCAGACGGACGTTCCCACGACAACGATGTCATCTCATTTGTGGGGCAGCCCGGTGGACATATGATGTAGGGTTTATCTTTCTGTTATTGGGGAGTGTATATGAGGTTCCTTTTTTTATATTGGTGAGTGTCTATACTTGGTGTCCCGTTGGGGATACAAGAAATAAAAACCCTACTTCATATCTGCCAGCAGTTTTGTTTTGTGCACTTCTTGCAGATCGCTTCAGCCGCTGTGCTGATCTTTTCTCTGGCGCCACGCATGTGCCCTCCACGAAGTCGCACCCTAAACCCTAAACCTTAAACCCTAAACCCTAAACCCTAAACCTTCAGCCCTGCCCGCATGGAAAACCCCGCGCTCCTCGCTCGCCAGGCTTGAGTTCGACGAAGCCGAGGCAGAAAACGTTGCCGAGGCCGCAGCGCCGTTTGGGGTTTGTGGCTCTGAGGGCTTAGGGTTTTAGGGTTTAGGGTTTGGGGTTAGGGTTTAGGGTTTAGGGTTTAGGGTTTAGGGTTTAGGGTTTAGGGTTGGGGTTTAGGGTTTAGGGTTTAGGGTTCGGGGTTTAGGGTTAGTTTGGGTTTGCGGCTCGGGGCTTGGGGTTTGGGTCTCTGGCTTGCCTTAGACCCCCTTTTGGCCCCCACAGAGCTATTTTCTTGATACAGGGCTACAGATGCTGTTGTTAATTTATTTCTTTTTTTTTTGGGGGGGGGGAGGGTCTCTGGTAGGGTTTAGGTGCGCATATACTACATGAAAGCTAGCCCCCACAGAACCATTATCTTGATGTAGGGATACAGATTTTTTTTTTTTTTTTTTTGGGGGGGGGGGGGTCTCTGGTAGGGTTCAGGGTTAAGGGTTCAGGGTTTGGGGTGCGCTTGTTAAAGCCACAATAACGCACCAGAAGCCCAGGGCTTCAATCCGCACCATCCCTGGTGGGTCTGGCCTTCTTCAAGTTACCAAGTCGGACCTTAACCTAATCACTGGGTCTGTCGTTGCTTTGTTTCTTTGTAGGCGCAAGAAACACTAAGAATGCTCTGGGCCCTAAACCCTAAACCCTAAACCCTAAACCCTAAACCCTGAACAGGAAATTTCACAGTAGAGCTTACAACGTAGCGGAGCCCTTTAGAGCCCTGGAGCACCAAGGTGTGTGCTTTAGGGTTTCTAGGTTTTAGGGTTCAATGTTTAGGGTTTAGGGTTTAGGGTTTAGGGTTTAATGTTTAGGGTTTAGGGTTTAATGTTTGGGGTGTAGGGTTTGGTGAGCCCAAAGAATTCTCGAGAAGCCGCCCGAGGCCCTAAACCCCAGAGGCCCAAGCCGAAACCTTAAGCCCTCAACCCTAAGCCCCAAATCCGACACCCGAAACCTTAGGCCCAACCCCAGACCCTAAAACCCTAAACCCTAAACCCTAAACCCTAAACCCGAAACCCTAAACCCTAAACCCTAAAACCTAAACCCTAAACCCTAAACCCAAATTAAGGGCCCATACTTCAGATCCCCGCCTCACTGGGTGCCGTTTTCGGCGACAGGCGACCGCCCAGCGCCTCACATCCAGCTTGGCTTTGGACTTCCACAGCCGCCGGCCTCGGTTAGGGTTTAGGGTTTAGGGTTTAGGGTTTAGGGTTTAAGGCTTAGGGTTTTAGGGTTTAGGGTTTAGGGTTTCGGGTTTAGGGTTTAGGGTTTCGGGCTTAGGGTATAGGGTGTAGGGTTTAGGGTTTGGGGTTTAAGGTTTAGGGAGTTTGTTTATGTAGCGGGTTTAGGCTTCGGCCGGGGGGGGGAGGGGGGCGGGTAGGGATTCGAGATGTGGGGGCCTTGGCGCTTTCAGATTGCAGGGCTTAGGGTTCGGAGGCTTGGGGTTTGGAGGCTTGGGGTTTAGGGTTTAGGGTTTAGAGTTTAGGGTTTAGGGTTTAGGGTTTAGGGTTTAGGGGTTCGGTTCAGGAGTAGAGGGGGGGGGAGTTTAGGGGCGGGCAGGAGGTGGTGCTGCGCAGCCTTCTGGAGCTGCGCCAAAACGGCGCGTGGGGGAACGCCCCGACGTAAACACTCAACCCTAAACCCTAAACCCTAAACCCTAAACCCTAAACCCTCATTATACCCTAAACCCTAACACAAAGAAGGAGAGACTGCTCTGACGGGCATGAGACGCCAAGGCTGTCGGCGGAGTACGATTGCTGGACCTCGATGAGGGTTTAGGGTTTAGGGTTTAGGGTTGATGAGTTGTTGTGTCAGTTTGCTTGCGCGGCCCTGGGCGGCCCACCACCGCTCTGAGATTGGAGTGTGGCAAAGCCATTGTCCGCTTCACGGAGCGTACAAAGGGCGGTGTAGGGTTTAGAGGTACAGTTGGTTTAGGACGGTTGTCCCAAACCCTACTTGAAGGCCTGCATCTCAGGGGTACGGTGAAGATGGCCCCTGAATGTCCATCTACCTAAACCCTTCGGCCTAAATTTAAGAGCCTCCGGCTCAAGCCGCCGACCCCGCAGCAGAACAAGTTTAAGGTTTGGGTTTGCGGTTGGGGTCTGGGTGGGAGGGTGGGGGGGTGGGCCAGCCGCAAAGCTGCCTTCCACAATGGGGGGGGCAGGGGGGCAATGGGGGGGGCAGGGGGGGAAGGAGGGGGGGGGTAGGGGAGGGGGGGAGGGGGGGGGAGGGGGGGGGGAGGGGGGGGGGGGGGAGGGGGGGGGGGTGGGGTCGGGTGTAGGATGCCCTGTGCGAAACCGCCTGTGGTCCATGAGTTTACGCGGTGTGGGTGGCCAACCCATCCAACACGCCGCCAGGGTCGGCGGACCCTAAACCTTAAACCTAAACCCTAAACCCTAAACCCTAAACCCTAAACCCTAAACCCTAAACCCTGAGTTGAAGCGCACCTTACTTAGGGATCCGCGGCACCACGGAAGGTGGGGGCTGCAGGGATTTGATGGGTCGGTGGCTTAGGGCACACCGCCTTCGAGCTTCAAGCGACTAGTGACTAGAAGCAGGGACCCTTCAACGGGACCTGAGGGATCATTTTGGAGGGTTTTCTTGGGGCTACTTTAGGTATACAGGGACCATATAAGGTCTGTATGGGGGTTGTATCCGGGAATAAGATTCAGGGTGTCCCTCCCGACACCCCTTAATTAATAGCGACTGACCTCTGGTACATCCTGAGATCCACCCATGAGGCCTCACCGAATCGCTCTTTTTGGGTTTCTTAGGGGTACTTGGAAATAGTTTTTTATTTTTGGGTACCATATTATATTTCCGAAGAAACAGAAAAAAAACACTAATTTTTGCTAGGGTTCCAAGTTCAGTATAGGTTTCGGGTCTAGGGCTTAGGGCGATAAACCCAAAGCTTGGGGAGCTTCGCGAATAGGAAGCTCTCGGTAGGCTTAAGTCCTATAAGCACAGGCTCGTGTAGCTCCATCTGCTTGTGGCTGTGAGATTTGTCCTGGCTTTCCGTGAGACTTTGCACGCCCAGGCAAGCTCGCACAAAAGTTGGGCTACAGCGTGGACGTCGAGGCAAATCCTAAACCCTAAACCCTAAACCCTAAACCCTAAACCCTAAACCCTAAACCCTAAACCCTAAACCCTAAACCCTAAACCCTAAACCCTAAACCCTGGATGGGAAGGGCCGGGGTCAGATTTGTTTTTTTTCTTGGACTTGGTGAGCTGTCCATGCTGCGCCCTGGCTTGATGTAAGACTTGCATTTGGGACGGGAGAAAAGGGCCGGGTTGTAACCCTGAACCCTAAGCCCCCAAACCCTAAACCTTAAACCCTAGACCCTAAACCCTAAACCCTAAACCCCCTTGATGTCTTGTTGATTTCCTGTGGAGGTGCTGCAACCGGTCACGGTTGAGCGGCAGAGCGATGCGTTTGCCACCTGCGGCCAGCCCCCGCCGCTCCCTGAGGGGTTTAGGGTTTAGGGGTTGGGGTTTAGGGTTCAGGGTTCAGGGTTTAGGGTTTGGGGTTTAGGGTTTAGGGTTTAAGGTTTGGGGCTTACGGCTTACGGTCCCCGAGCTCTTGCCGGCAACAGAAGTTCTGCCGGCTGCGCGTTGTTGGGTTCCGAAGGAAAACTCCGTGAGGTTCGCGGCCACAGTGTCTACCTTTGCGCAGGTCATGCAGAACCCTAAACTCAAGGGACTAAAGGAGGGACCCTTATGAACCTTAGGAGTTATTTAGGGGCTGCTTAGGTTTATGGGGACTATATAAGGTATATAAAGGGGTTATATAGTTATCTAGAGGAAGAAGATTAAGGGTCCCTTCGAGGGGTCCCTCCTTATATCCTTAATAAACCCCTGCCGGCAGGCTTGGTGCTGCCAAGGTGCCCCACCGTAAAACCCCAAACCCTATAAGCCCGGAGTGTGTTGTGGCTCATCCTCTAGCAGGTTTTGGTTTCTAGGCTTCTAGGCTTTGAGGCTTTTAAGCCTATGCATTGGTTTTTGGTTTTTGGGGTTTTTGGGATTTGCTGAGGTTTGAACCCGGAAGCCGCAAAACCCAGGCTTGTGGCCAACGCCGCCGCCAACTGGACACAAGCAGCATGTCTCGGGCGAACATGGCCGGCGACCCATCCCGGGCGGGGTGTTTAGGGTGTTTAGGGGCGTTGTGGCGGGGGAGGGGGGGGGGGGGGGGTTGGTGCGCTTTTTGGTAGATCCACTGCCCGAAACCGTCAGAAACTTCCCCCGTCCCATACATCCTAAATCCTAAACCCTAAACGCTAAATCCTAAACCCTAGACCCTTCAGGGTACTGCAGGCCCTTGCGACTTTTTGTTGAGATGCTTTCCCTTGTTTGGGTTTACCCAAAGAGCCCAATATCCCTTAATTAAGGAATATCCCTTAAATCATATTAAGGATCCCTATATACATTAAGCAATATTAAGGATCCCTATATACATTAAGCAATATTAAGGATCCCTTTATACATTAAGCAATATTAAGGATCCCTATATACATTAAGCAATATTCCCTACTTAAGGATTATTGGGCTCTTTGGGTACCAGGTTCATCCTCAGGACTTTTCTTGCAGATGCTTTACAGGGCTAGCCGAGCCGAAGTAAACCTTGGCAGCTCTATGTGAGAGCCCTAAACCCCAAACGTGCTAAACCCTAAACCCTAAACCCTAAACCCTAAACCCTAAACCCTAAACCCTAAACCCTAAACCCTAAACCCTAAACCCTAAACCCTAAACCCTAAACCCTAAACCCTAAACCCTAAACCCTAAACCCTAAACCCTAAACCCTACCTGAAGCTTGCTCTCAGGTCTGACGGGCCCTGCGCCGTGCCCTGCGATGTGGGTTTCCTCCCCGAGGGCAGTGCCGCCGGCAGAGAGATTTTGAGTGCTTAAGCTGTGCTTTTGGGATTTGGGGGTTTGGGGTTTAGGGTTTAGGGGGTTTAGGGTTTGGGGGTTTGGGGGTTTGGGGTTTAGGGTTTAGGGTTTAGGGTTTAGGGTTTAGGGTTTAGGGTTTAGGGTTTAGGGTTTAGGGTTTAGGGTTTAGGGGCCGCGGTGTGTTGCCAGGTGGCTTCCTCTGCGGCGTGGACGGCGCCTGGTTTGACGTGCCACGCTGCGCCCGGAGCCCCAGCAACCTTTTGGGGCGTCCATGGGGTTTAGGGTTTTGGGTTTAGGGTTTAGGGTTTTGGGTTTTGGGTTTAGGGTTTAGGGTTTCAGGATGTGGTGTGTTAGAGGTTATGGGGTTCGTGGGTTTGGGGGTTAGGGGTTTCGTGTGTTTGGGCTTTAGCGGTTTCGTGTGTTTGGGTTTAGGGGTTTAGACTTTACAATAGACTACTTAGGACGTTTCGTGGTTAAGGGTGTCTAGGGCGTTTAGGGTGTTCAGGGGTTTTGGGGTTTAGAGTGTCTAGGGTTAAGGGTACACCCCACAACCTGAAGCCCGCAAGGGGTCGGTCGGTACAGTGCAGAGGCTGCGGGACGTGCGCTGTCGGCTTATGGTTTTGGGTTTTCAGGGCTTCGGTGCCCCCCCGCCCCCCCCGCCACCTAACCCTAAACCCTAAACCCGAAACCCCAAGAACCCTTGAACGCTTACACTTTTGCAGAGATGCAGTGTGTGTTGCGGTTTTTGGCGGTTTAGGGCCGTCGAGGGTTTAGGGTTTAGGGCGCCCCTACAACCCCCCCACGCACCAGGGAGCAGAGCATCCCGGCAGTCAGTCCACATACCTAAGTTGGGGATGTGGCCATTAAACCCCAAATCTTGACACCCTAAGCGCTTAAAGCAACCCTGAGCCCGGAGCCCTCAACCCAAATTAGACCTCTACATCAACCCTGACGTAGCCCCCGTGGAGCAGCCGCTCGACGGGAGGCAAAAGCCCTAAACCCATAAACCCTCAAGCCAAAATGCAGCTGTTGGCCGACATGGAGTCGGTCTTGCCGTTCCCTTCAAAAGCGCCGGGACAAAGTTGACCTACGCCTCGCAAGGGGCAAGGTTTTGAGTGTGACGTCGCCCGCGAGTCTGGGGCAGCGCTTGACGAGATCACCACCGAGGAGCTCTACCGCTCAAGACCTTCTCCATGCGCCCTGGCTCCTCATCATCAAGCCTCATGTCCGCGCTTTCATCAGCAGGGAAGCAGGATCAAGGAGCGCACTATGAACTCAAGACAAGACTACTGGCAAATAGGCAGTTAGCACTCAAGCTGGCAAAAGCCACGGACCAAGAAAACAAAGAGCTCCAAGCAGAAAGCCTGGATCTGATCGAGTACATGACCACGAGAGCGTTTTTAGGGTTTAGGGCTTCGGGTTTGGTGGTTTGGGATTATCAGGACTTCAGCAGATGAAAGGTCTTGGAATCTTGTACAAGTAGCCGCTACTCTGTGGTCCAACCGAGTAACGTCAGAGGTTGTCACGCCCATCTGGTGGTACCACATGCCCCTCTCAAAAGGGCTGTCCTTAGAAATAAGCGCAAGGTTTAGGACCTTCCTCTGGGTTGGCTTGATAGGGTCCGGGTTTAGGGTTTACAGCTGCGAGGGCTTTAGGATTGTCTGCCGGCGCGCGAGCAGCACTTGGGGAGGGGAGTATGGCCTTGCAACTCTAAACCTCAAACCCGAAGTCCCAGACCCTAAAGCGTAGAAACCCTAGGCCCTGACAGCAAGCCCCTGAACCCTACCTGGACCCCTAAGGTTTGCAACAAATGGCCCCAAACCCAGAACAGGCCTATAATTTTGCATACTTGGGGGGGGGGTTAGGTAAACCCTAAACCTCCAACACATCGCAAACCCTAAAGCCTAAACCCTAAACCCTAAACCTCCAAAACATCCCAAACCCCAAAGCGTATGAACTCCAAACCCCAAGCCCGTTCAATACATCCCAAAACATCTGCCAGCGCCAGCAATTGTCAAGCTTATGTGCGGCCTCAAACCCAAAATTCTGAAGTCCCTAAACCCCAAACCCCAAACCCCAAACCCTAAACCCTAAACCCTAAACCCTAAACCTGCTTATATCAGTGCCACCCCGAGGCGTCAATCTGGACCGTGGGTGAGTGGGGCGAATGCCTAGGCCTTCTGCCACTGCCGAGCTACCTCAGGGTTTCTTGGGTTTACGGTTTAGGGTTTAGGGTTTGGGGTTTAGGGCTTTATGCTTCGTAGCCCACTGGTACCCTTTTCCCTTTTTTGGTTCCAGGTTCCCCTAGAAAGTAACGAACCCGAGGGTTTTGATGAAGGTTTATAAGGCTTACCTGTGGGTTTATAGGACTTTTAGGGTTTCATGAGGGTCTACTGAGGGTTTCATGAGGGCCTTAGGGGTTGGTAGGGTTTTTATGAGGGTTTTCGAAAGTTTGTAAGGTCATTTCTTGACAATACGGTCCCTTTTGGGGTCCTGACTATACGGCAGCCCCTCGCCTGATTTTGGGCTACCCAAAAAGGGACCCTAAGTTAAGGAACCGACCATATGGCTTTAAGGGTCCATGTACCTAGATAGTATATACTTGGGCCTTAAAGGGGTTCCCAAATAGCTGCCTTAGGGCCCCAGTATCTACTACATAGGTTCATGGACCCCTAGGGTGGCTAATGAGGGTTTAGTGCTTACGCGAAGCCTTCAACCCTGTCTTTCGCCACCCAGCGAGCGGACGAGTAGGGTCTAGGGTTTAGGTTTAGGGTTTAGGGTTTAGGGTTTAGGGTTTGGCTTTTGGGTTTAGACCTGCAATTCCCGAAGTTCAAGCAACAAGCACACGCTGGAGACTCAACAGAGGCTACAGCTTTCCGGGTTCGGGGTTCGCGGGTTTAGGGTCCCACATAGTCCTGAACCAGGCCATTCAACATCGCGGAAACGCAAAGGCCCCAATCCTTGGCCATCAGACGCCCCCCCCCACCCCCTTCAGACCTTATGACAAACTCTCACAGTCGCAAACCTTCAAGCTAAGCCCTAGGGTTTAAGGGTCTCAAAAGCACCAAACATAAACATGGTACTGGTAGCAACATTAGCAATAGCATCAATGATGAAGAGCAGCAGTAGCAGTTGCAGTAGCAACAGTAAGCATTGGAATACTGGGACTAATCTGAATACTAGGTAATCGTAGTAAAGACACAATGAACTACCATTTGCTGAAGAACCCCCAAGTCATAAGGAAAAATACATTTGTCATGTTTTGGTGGGGCTCTGACCCTGGTTCTTAGTAGCGAATGAGGGAATGAGGTACCCTATATAATCCCTTCAAGGGTATAGGGGGAAGTGGGGCACCTCATTCCCTCGTCCCCTACTAAGAACCCCGAGAGCCGCATGCTGTCAGCAGCTGACCCTGAACCAAATTTGACAAGGGTGGTGCCCAAGCAACGAAGAGCCAGCGTATGATCTTGAGCTCTGAAGCCTCGGCCCACGGCTCGAAATGCTTCACCCTGCAACTGAATACCCTTAAGCCCTATGTCTTATAAACCCTAAACGCTAAACCGTAAACCCTACTTACCCCTAGGCTCGCTCGTCCACCGCCCTCCGACCAGGCGTCCCCGGAAACTGCGGGGAAGGCGGTGTGCAACGGCGTGAGGCAGGTCGTGCAAGATGGACAGTTCTCGAAACCTTGGTCATAGTTGGGTCACATTTTACATTTCTAAGGGTACTCAAACCCAATAAGGTACATATTTGTTTTTTTAATACGATCCCAACCATGAACTAGAAACCTCACTTAACCACTAACAAGGTCTATGGAAGCCTCAACCCTGCACCCTGAAGCCGAACCCTGGTTTAGGGGTTAGGGTTTAATTAGGGTTTAGGGGTTAGGGTTTAGGGTCTAGGGTTTAGGGATACTAGGACCACGGAGTAGGCCCTTTTTTCCTTCTTTTAGGGTTGGGGTTCCCTTAAAATCCCCTTAAAACCAAAAAGGGTACCCATTTTAATCCTAGGTTACTCCGAGGTCTAGGCCAAGAGTTGAACTTTAAACTTTTGGAGTTTCCTTACGTAGTAGGAGTCATGAAGGTTGACCTTTTCTTTCCCGTGGTTCTTGGAGAAGTAAGAAAGCCTCCCGGGTTGCTTCAGGGTGTTCAGATTTTAGGCGGATTGGAAAAATGGGTCTAGGGTTTAGAGTAGTTCTCTGCAACCTCTTAGGGTTTGAATGAAGTGTAGGGCTTGCGGGTTTAGGGTGGAGGTTCCCCTGTTTGACTGATAGGAAAACAGGGTCTAGGGATTAGCGAAGTTCTCTGTGAACCGTCTAGGGCTTGTGAAGTGTAGGGCTTGGAGTTAGGGTTGAGGGTCCCCTGTTGGACTGCTTCGGGTCCCTACTCCATGAGTGTCCATGTGCCTCCGTAGGGTATAGGCTTTAGGGTTTCAAGATGGGCAAAATGGAGAGGTGCACAAAACCATCGATTTCAGTCCTAAAAAACGGCATTTTTCATTGCGGGTACGAACAAATCCTGGGGTCCCCGTCTTTTAAGCCTTTTGGTGGCTAAAATGGAGGCCTGCCAGACCAAGGGCTTTAAGGGTGCGGTCGGGTTCTTGGAGGGGAATTTGGGGTGGAGGACCAAGGGTGCTCTGTGATGCTCGCTTTTTCCGTTTTGCTTTTTTGTATCGGTATTACAGCCCGTTTTTGGCCGATTTTTGCCGTAACGTTCTTTTCTAGAGTGCTTTTGCATGGTTGCCTTCCCCTGGTTCCTTCCTTAACCCCTTCAGGGTGTAAAGGGCACTTTAACCCCTTCGAAGCCCCGGGTTCCTTCCGTGTGCCCGCCCCCCCCCAGCAAGTGCCCTGCGCTCCCTAACCCGTAGGTCACCAGCTCCCTTGTGCTCCCTACTTGAAGGTTCATGGTACTTATTAACCAATTATAACTGGACTCATAACTGTACTTATAAGTCCCTTAAGTGCCCAAACATAGTTATAGTCTGGGTTATAAGTACTGTTATAATTGGTTAATAAGTACCATGAACCTTCAAGTACAGGTTAACACTCCGCGCCGGTCCCACTTAGAAATGATAGGCAACTGCATAGGCAGCACGGCGCTAGGCAGCAACCTTTGTGGTACTTTACTGTAGCTTTAGATCCTTACCCTTTTTGGGTCAATTGGGTTTCTTAATAAGGCAGCTAAAAGTTTCATTTTTAGCTACCTTCCTGAGTGCAGCCAAGCAACTACATCAGGCAACAACCACACCAGACATTTTAAGATGCCGCTTACGGCAGGGGACAAGAAGGTCCTGATCGCCATGACCGTTCGGTGCTCAAAGCGCGCCCGAAGGACCGAGATGTCGGAGGAGGCTTCTCGCGACGCCGACGATGAGATGCAGGACCTCGAGCGTCTGGGCACTTCTTCTTGCTAG